ATTATAAATTAATTAAATTAATAATTAACAATTACAATACAAATCTTTGCCTCTCTATGCGATTCTTAGCACATTTCGACTACTTATATTTCAATCATAAATTTTAAATAACTATTAATTACATTACAATTATTTTTTTCTTGGCAATTCTGATTTAATTTTGCTTAAATATAATTATATTAGTATTAAAATATTGTAAATTTTGTATACCAACTCCATTCCTATTACATCATTTTAAATGCATAAAAAAATCATTGATTAGGGATAAAGTCGGATGTGCCCCTCTTTGCAATTCTCAAAGCTTGTCTAATTGCATTTGTAGCTTGATTAGATATTCCTGACAGTGGCCAACTTTATCTCAAGCGCTTTTACAATGACAGCTCATTTCAGTCGAACGCCTCTCTATGCGCTTCTCATCCCCCCACACAGACAAGCACATTCAGATAACGTATGCGCTGCTCTCATTGCAGGCCGCTTTCGCTTCTAATTAGTTTTGCTTAGGGTAGTCCCGACTGCGACGCCGCCTCCGCCGCCTTCGCCGCCCACATCGCAACTCATTAAAATTAAAAGACATCAAAAGAAATTTGCAAACTAAACACAAACATAGAGGAGACGGCGGCAGCAGCTGTTGGACTGCGCCTAGAATGTCCTTTTGCGGGTCCTGGCACGAGCTGAGCCCGGCACGTTCGCTCATCTGCTGCCCGCCTTTTGTGCTACCTTTTGCCCTTTTCTTTTTTCTGTTTTGTAGCTTTTTCCCTTCTTCTCTTTCATATAAATTGTGTGCCGCACGCTTTGCATAAACTAAATAAATTTCTTGGCCACCCGCCTTACGGCCATGTCATAAAGTGGGCTGACTGGGATTTTCGTCTGTCCAGAGCTTTTGGAGGGGGTGTAGGGTGTCCACTGGCAGTGAGTGCAGCAGCTTCTGCTTTATATTGCTGCGCCAGCTGACGGGTTGGGTCGATGATGCGGCTGCTGCTGCTGCTGCTTCTTTAGCTGTAAGCCAGCGTTAAATTAAAGCGGAAACTGGCTTGTGCCGACACAGCGGATAGTGGGGCTGGAGTGCTGTTGGCTTGTGACTAGGCAGTCAACATGTTTGCTTTTGGCCGCTTTCTATGGCTCACATATCTCGGCCGGAGCAGCTGCCCCGATCTGCGTCTCCATCTCCCCGTCTTCGTCTCTGGCAAAATTGTTGCAAAATAATGTTAAATGAAAAGCACAAAGTCATTCAGGCACAGCCTGGTGTGAAGGGGGAGAAGAGCGAGCAGCTAGGTGGGCTGGCACTCGCACATGCCGCCTCATCCGCTGACGACGTGTCGCTCCCCCCTCACCCTGCGCTGCCACACTCTCTGTTGGTCGGCATCCTGCGCGTCATCGTCACGCACATTCACTTTGCATTCATTCAACTCGAAGGCAGTCGGAGCTGAAGTCGCCGTCGCTGTGGAAGCTCCCGGCGAAGAGCAACGTCGCCAGCTGGCRTTGCTGTTGTTGTTGCCTTGGCTTTTTGGCAGCAATTGAGTTTGAGATTCATTCACAGTTAAAGCCAAATGATGCGATAACCAAACGTGCTTTCTAATTCCGCAGACAGCCACAGATTGCGCTGAGAACCATTCAGACAGCCAACCGAAGCTAAGAGTCAGTTAAAGCATTAAACTTGACTGCTCAAGTGAGGGCGATTCTCTTTTAAAGCAGTTCTATGAGAGAGATTGAGCGAGAGACCCACCTGAAGGTATATCAATATATACTTTATATTGAAGTTTTATATTAATGGTCAAGAATAATTTGTTCTCTAGAATTTACGGTTCTGAGCTATATTCTATTCTATTCAGAATAAAATTCAATGAGCTGAACAAGATTATTACAATTTTTGAACTAGGTTTAGGTAGCTCAAAAATGTTAATAGAGACGAAATTTAAGAAAATCTAGAGAAAATTTGTATATCATTTATTAGAAATCTATATAGAAATTATCAAAAAAAGATTCTATATAATTTTTTTAAATGTATATATAGAAATTATACACAAATTTTAAATAAAGTTGGTATACAAATTATAAGAAAATTTCTTAATTTCTTAAAAATTAATATAGAAATTTGTTTTATCAAATCACTTGAGCTCATAAACTTTTTCTCTATTAAAACTTTCTAAATTAAATCAAAGTTTCCTACGCTAAAATAATCTCCTAATTAACTATTTAATATAAAGATAAATATTGTTGGCAGTGAAGGTATAAATTTTTTTTTAATAAATTATAGAAATTTGCAATACAAAAATCAATTTTCCTTTGAAAAAAAAAATCTTTCTGAAAAATCCAACTATAGCTGACATTAGGCATTCATTCTTAAAGAAATGTTGCTCTACACCTTCTTCAGATTCGTGCAGTTCCACATTTTACTATGCAACTCCAAAGTCATCTGTCTTCGGAGTCAACTGCTGTAATATTACCAAAACTTTCCTTTGGCATATTTATTTTTGCATTGCACGACAGCTAACGAGATCCTCGGCTCAATTTACCTGCAGCCAGGCCAAGGCGATGCCCACATATAGCTCCGCTCCTGCACTGATGTTTATCTAACAAATGTGTCCATTCTGCTGGCAGAGCTGGCAACCTGAGCAACCTTATCGACTGCCTGATGACTCCTCCGCCCGTCAAATTGCATGCACATGCAAAAAAAAAAAAAAAATAAACACAACAACAACAGCAAAAAATGGGCAACGTCATGTGGCAATTTGTCACGCAGAGGCAGCTGCTGCAGATACAACAACACCCCCACCCCCAGTGTGTGTGTGAGTGTGTTGGTTTTTCCCTTGACTCTTGTCAATAACTCAGCGCTTAATTGCTCATCTTTCAACGTCGCAGGGCGCAGGTACTTTGACTCAGCAGCCCAGCGGCAGCCTTTGACGCCCAGCACAGCCGAAACAAATTAGAAAATTCTCAACTGCAGCAGGAGAGCAAAAAAGGAACCAGAAGAAACCCAAGTAAGAACTCTGCAATCAAGCGTAACCAACTGTGAGATGCTTGTTGGCAGTTAAGATTTATATATAGAGTTTTGATAACAAGTTCTTATGGTTGAGTAGCAAAAGATTTACTTTCAAATTTGCTTACTTTAACTCTGTATATTTTTCTAGTTTTTGATTGTCCATCTGTACATCTGTAGTTCTAAGATATAGATCTATAGCCTTTGAACTGATGATTTGTTCTTCTAGTTAAGCCTTTGAACTGATGATTTGTTCTTCTAGTTCAAAGGCTTTAACAGCTTGAGTTTCTGTTCATTTTTCGTAAACGGATCTCCATTTTTAAGACTATTATTAAACAATTCTTTTATTTTATTTTAAATGTAAAAAATGCATAAATACATATTATCATAATAACTTATATCAACTAATTAAATTTAGTATTTATTATTACATTTGAAAGCCAGAAAATAATTTATTTATTATATTGTTTAATTTTAATGTTCATATATAAATATTAGGTTAAAAAATATTTTTTATTTACATT